TATGTAAGTACATATGTATCTTTCTACACCGCGAAAATGCGTAACGATTTTGGCTTCATATCCAAAGGACACTATCGATATTTCCATTAAGGTGACCATCGCAACTACCGCTGCTAACGCATCTTATTGTCGAACGTCGAGTGCGGTTATATGTATTTACGTTGAATCTAAGCACGTATACCGTACATCAGACAAGCATTGCGACACTATGAACGGTGGCACGTGTGCGCAGCAGCCATTCATTTGTGCCATTGCCATTTGTGGCCTAATCTAACGGCGCGCGTCAACCGCTTTACAACGAGCCATCACATTCCTCACTATAGCCATCAACAACAACGAAATCACCATTACTACGCTATAGTTAAGAGAGCATAACTGTAAATTGGCAAAATGATTTTGCCATAAACTTGGTGTATTTAAGCGCAATTAATCAAAGCGTAATGCCAGCGCCATCGGTAAATGGTGAAGCCACAAAACGATGTACAAATATATCGCGTGCATAAAAAAGTTTAGTGAAAGAGGAAGAAGACAAGAAGAAAATAAAGTAACGACAATGGCGATTGCAACGGTTAGTCGCTTATAACGCAACTTGAGACGATTTTGCGGTATTTCGCTCAAATGCGCGAAGGAAAAGTCGGCGGCGGCGCCGCCGCAGTAGGCGCTTAGAAAGTCACACACATTTAAAGAAAAATTTATGAGAAAAACTTATACCAAAGTACGTACATATGTATTTATTTATGTATGTATGAACCTTTTGCAAAGGTGATGAAACTGTAAAGCGCACGAAAAATAACATGACGACACTCAATTAGCGGTCATTGCGACGACGTGCTGACGTGCGAATTTGGCGATGCGCAGCATTAGGTGCGCGCCGCACTTACCGCTTTTATGCTAAGTCAATGGCGCGCGGCACGACTTGGCGCGCGAGCGATGTGTTATGTGAGACGCTTAGCGTGGTTGTGATTTTTTGGCAATCCAAGTGAAGCATGCCATGCGCATGGTGTGACTCAGTACAAACGCTATATTTACGCTGTTATTTCATTTACTTTATGCGCAAATTAAACAAAACATTAGCAGCAGGTGTTGACCGCGGTGCCACAGCAATCTAATTTTTGTGTTTTACTTTGCTGTGCGTGCTTTATTTTATGTACTACGTAACTACAGAGGTAAGTATTTCACAATTAGTACGACTAACAAACCAGTTCGCGTGTATTCGAGTGTATGTAATCATAAAAAATATTAATTTAGTGTCTATTCACTTTTTTTTTTGGATGACTTATGGTTTATAAGACCTTTTTGTGGCTGTTGTCTCATCGAATGCGCTGTACATTTGGCACATGCGAACTACCACATAAATATGTACAACATCCAACACGCATACACACTCAATGAAAAATGTTAAGTAGGAGCCCCAGCGATGGTAACTGCTTGGCCTAGGCCGGTTCAATCACATCGCAAAATTGCAGCAGTCAGCGCCACTTTACATAAACACGAGTTGGCGATTAGAGAAACACAAACATACATACATAGATATATAAGTACATAAATATCTAAACAGTTGTTAGACATTGCAATGGAAACGGTAGAGGATCTAATTTAGGTTATCGTGGCTGCCCTCATCCAAGGTTAGATAAAGATAGACTTAGACCGCACAGTGGTCAATAAATGGGATTTAATGTTCATAATTCAACCAATTTGATATTTTTTTTTTTTAATGAAGGCTAATAAAATTTTCAAGAGACTAGTTGACTCCAATTTTCGAATTTTTAGTTGTTTCTATTAAATTTTTTAGTGCAAAGTGCAGAAGAAGTGCCAATTTTGAAGAAGTTCGATTCTCCTGTTCCAACTAATAAAAGTTTCATAATAAAAACCAGGTAAAAACGATTGTAGGGTTCTCCCAAAACGAAAAAAACTAAAAAGTAATAATTTGAAATGTTATAAAAAAAATTTCACCGAGTGTTTTTTTTTGTTTTTGGTTTTTAAAAAAATTTTGAGTATGCAGTTTTATAGATCATAAAATTTTAGTACAATAAAGTGAAAGTTCCAAGTCGCAAGAGTTCGCGTTGATTTTGAATAACATAACAAACGCTTTTATCTCCCATTTAGCATATAAACGTGTTCGAAATGTTAGCGAAAAAATTATTAAAAATCAAAGCTTTCAGGGATGCTGGACTTTCAGAGAATATTAATAACTGTATTTTCTCGTTGGATCTTCTTACAAGGTATCGAGTGGCCTTCTGGATAGCCGGCACCTCCGGCTGGTGTATGCTTGTTCCTGCTCCGGGAAAAAGGCTCCTCCCTCGACCTCGACCTACATAGCTATAGAATCGTGTCCAGAGCTTCGGTGGGGCCAAGAGCAGAGTGCTGTGCCTCTGCATACCTGCTTTGAAATTGTTTCAGCGCTGCTAACTTACTAAAGGTCGGCCACCGGACTAGTACTCCGTAGAGCAAAATCGAACGAAAAATAGCCGTGTGGATACAGTTAACTATCATAGGCGAGAAGCGCCACGATAAACCGCTCACCGCTTATATATAAGTACTGTGGTGGCTTTCCATTGTGTTGCTATTCCAGATCAGCTTACTGCCGAGAACTACTTCAAGATTATTGGCAGTTCATTTCAAGGCTCGAACCATTGATTTTAGAGGTGTATGAACCCTTACTTTGTACCAGCTCAGTTTTAGCTGGGTTAACATCAATACCGTAGTTTTTGATCCAAGTAACTAACTAGTGAAGCAAGAGCGGTTTCCATGAGATTGCACAAATTTTGATCAAATTTCCGATATACGGTATTCATCGGCATATCCAAAGACCTCATATCCATGTCCATTGATTCACCGTCACTATCCATAGGATTGCAAAGAGAACACTCACCTGCGGAATGACCTTCCTGACAGACCTGCGAGTCGTTTGCTCCGCCATTTCCGAGTTCACCAACCGGCTGGTCAGCAATTGGTGGACCAGAATTTTATCCAACGGCAGGTCGGTCAGAGCCGACGTAATCGCCTGCAGGAGGACATTTTTGAAAGCCTTTGCTATGTCCAATATTGATCCTAATGCAAGTTCCATTATTTTTAGTGATCGTTAAATTTTCAATAGTAACGAGTGTCGGCCATTCTCGAAAATTAAAAAGCCATCGGACTTAAATAAATGTTTTTACTTGATCTTGACTAAGTAGGGGAAAATTTAGTATTTTTAATAGAAAATTTATTCATTTTTGTCAACGAATCTCTGTGAGCTCTCAGCTCAACTTAAGTCTCTGCGCATCAGCGCAAAACTTAAACGTTAGCCATGTAGAGGATTTTTGTCATAAGTAAGGGGATTTTTTTGAGTTCTAAGGAATTTACATTATGTCTAATTATGTACTTATTTAAACATCTGTATACATAAAAATAAAAAACAGTGAATACCTAAAAAGAAACACACACACAAATTGGGACGCCCCCTACTGTTGATAAAACATTTCCTGTTCCGCGGAAATATATATGTGTTTTTATTTACCAAAACCAAAATCGTTTAACCATTTATAAAGAAAAAACCAACAAGCAAATAAAGTGATTTTCAAATGTATGTAATTTAAGAATACTGCAACGATTTTATTTTTTATCCTCAGCTGTATTCAAAACATACATACATACTCACAAACACACGAAAGATAAACGCGCATTTGCTGGACCACCACCGAACGCCGCGACGCGCACTAAGATCAACCACGCGCGCATACCCCCCCATATGCCCCACGTATGTTCTACCAAGAAGCTTGGTGCCAACAACTTGAACTACACAAAAACAAACACACACATTTATTTCGTTTGTATGTATGTATGTATGTACATATAAATGCACAACGATAAGCCAAGCCGCCACAAGCGCGTTTATCGTCGCATTTGTGTGTTCTTGGAAAGTCATTAAGTCGTCGACGTGGAGCGGCGCGCACATTAAGCGCGACCGCACAAAAGTGTGGGAAAATTTTGCAATGAATGGCTCACGCTTCCGCTTGCGGCATGCGGCGTGCGGCGCGTTAACTGCCATTCGAGTTGGTTAAATTTTTTTTTCTGCTTTGCTTTGCTTTGTATCGCAATGTGGTTATTATTATTAGCGTTTTTATTATACTTGTTGAGCTTGTGACTTCGTTTATTTTTGTTGCCTTTATTGTTATTATTGTTGTTGTTGTTGAGCTATTTGCGGTTTGCTATTACAAGCTAGTTTATCGCCAACTAGACATTTTCACTGCTACTTTTTACTCATACATATGCATGTAATCCACAAGCTGAGCGCGAATTATCGCGATCAACGCGCCGCGCTCATACACCGCGCGCGCTTGTACGCCCTCAAAAAACTTGGCTTGGTTTGGTTTCTATTGGCATGGGTTGGCGCAAGCTATGACTCAAAACGCGCGCGCGCATAGCAACAAATAAGCATACCTACATACATATGTAGCTACACAGTTGATACTAAATCTATAGACAGCGCTTTAGCTGAACAAGGGTTCGTTTTTGTGTGCGTTTGTAAATTACGGTTTGGCATAGTTTTTATTTATTTATTTTTTTCTTTTTTGACGTGCCACCGGACATTGTACGCTAATTGTGAAATTTCGAAATTCAAGCGCTTGGGCTGTCTCGCTGGCTTGTAGTGTGGGAATATTTTCGAATTATATGATGTGCAAACAAAAATTAATGAGAGTCAGACGTCAGCTTGTGTTGTGGCGCGTGATGCGCATTGACGTAGTTGCTGACGTCAGAGCGCGACAGCGGCGGCGGTGTTTATGTGAGATCAAGACCTTCTTGAACAAGAAGTGATATGAAGCAAAACGACCTATGAAAAGATCAGCGTTTGGGATGATGATGAAGACGAGTAGAAAAGCAGAGTTAATTAAAAAGCTTTACGTTTTATGTTTTAATAATTTTCATTATATTTCTTTTTTTTGAAAATTTTAATTGTTTTCAATTGTTGCTTATCTCTAAATAAATTCATTTTCCCTGCGCTTAGGAAGTTATTTAAAAATTTTTTATATTTTTTTGTACTTAAAATACTTTGCGTGGCTGGTCATTGGCTTTAGAAAGCCCTTGTTGTACCATCAGCAAGCGTGCTAACCATTTTGTTCAACCACGCAGGCGGCAAGTATCACCGACCTCAGCGACGTTGTCCAGCCTGCTGCCAACTCAGACACCCTGCCTCTGTACTTCTTCCCCTGTTTGCTGCAACGCAATCGCCCCTATTCAACTCATAGGCTACCCAAGCGCCATCTAGCGCGCAGTTCTGGCTACCATCAGCTGCATTAATAGATGCTCGGGCTACGGCGACGCTGCATACAAAGCTGTGTGCTTTCATGAAATCGATTCCCATTAAAGATCCTCTTGCTTGAAGATCAGCTTTTCTGCTTTTGCTTGCTTGTTTGCTCGCGCTCATGCTCACCATGGGCGCCACACCGCTCCGTACGATGACTCGCTGGGTGCTGGACTGGAGCTACCACTTTCACTGCTGCCATACTCCGAAGGTGGCGGCGTAATAACAACGGGGCTGGATGTCGCACTGCGTTCACTGCAACTACTCAAACCATAGAACTGTGCGGCTGCCACTGCCGCCGCCGCCGCCGCGGCACCAACGGCCTGTGTTGCTGCGCCGGGAATAAAGTGTTGCGGTTGTGGCACACTAGTCGCCAACGGCATGCCTGGCACCACCACT